CCGGCGCGGGTCCCACCTCTGACGCGGCGCGCGCGGGACTAGGGTGCGGGTCCCACTAAGGCTGGGCGCACGGGGTCAGAGCGTGGCTGAGGTGCAGGCTGGCGCTGCGCAGCCGAAGGTAGTGGCGTGATTACTTCACCCCGTTCCCTTTCGAGGCGACGCTCATTAGGGGAGCGTTTGGGGGAAGCGTGGCAGCCGCCCTCGGGAGGCACCCGTGGGCTTCACGGGGAACCCGCGGGCCGAGCGGCGCAGTGAGCGTGGGAACTCCCTGGAAAAGCTTCACAGTGAAACACAAGGCCTGGCGTCGGAATGACCGCCCCACTTTGAACATCCTGAAAACTACTGAATTCTGCGCTTTAGAAGGCTGGGCTTTACAGTGTACGAATTACAGCTCAGTTGAAAAGACACTTGTCATTCGCAGGCGACAGTGTCAGGCCTTGAGAACTGTTGGCACCCGCGCAGCTGAAAATTCAGTATTTAAGTCAGTTGCGTTCTTTCTGGAAAATGGATACGGTACTCGACACGGGCGCCAGGGACCGTCACCATGCTTGAAATGCCCACTTTCTCGGGGCGTGTGATTCTTTCAAAACTGGAGGATAGTTCGAAATTAGTTTTCTTTTTCTTTCTTTTTTTTTTTTTAATCCTCACCTGAGGATTTTCAGAGAGAGTGGAAGGAGGAGAGAGAGAGAGGAAAAAAAACCCCAGAAACATCGATGTAATAAGACCCATCCCATCGACTGGTTGCCTCCAGCAGGCACCCGCACCGGGGCTGGAGATCGAGCCCGCAACCGAGGTGCGTGCCCCGGGCGGGAATCGAACCCGGGACCCTCCGTCCGCCGGCCGCCGCTCTAACCCCTGAGCAAAGCCGGCCCGGGCTGAAACGAGCTCTAATAACATACTTTCATGTGTCTAGCATGTTTTCATCTAAAAGTCTAAAAACCCATAAATTTGACCCCAACACTCTTGAATCCCCTTCAAAACCTGAGACGTTCATTTCCCACCAGCCTGGGACATTTAGGAATCATACATTTTTGCAAAACGCAATTTCGAGTTTATCTTTCCTTCAATTCTTTCCTGTACTGGCAAAATCAAGGAGGGTTCTAAACGGAATCTTTCTTACCGTACGAATGCAGACATTATCGGGTTAAGTTTAAAGACAAGTTTTTCTTAAAAAGATAAATTTAAGTTGCTTTGGGATCCATCATTGTATGCGGGAAACGTATTTATACGTTTTATGTTGACTGGTAGTAGAGCGCGAGATAAAAACTACCCGCAAACAATGTATTAATTGTCACATCAGTGAGTCAGGGCTAATAGAAACGACGACAGTTAATACCATGAAGAAAAAAGCAAAGTAGTTCTAGATTTTTAGCACATAGCACTTGGATTAATAGATTTACCACTGTCTTCTTCCAGTTAATGTTCAAGTGATCTATTTAATGCCCAAATTTGTGTCCTTAATACCAAGAAAAATACATGCTAAGTAGAATATTTCTCTTAGTTTAATATAAATATCTTACCTGGGTTCCTTGACATGGCTGAAACTAGCTGGTTGCTGGCAAGTCTGGTCATGTATGCCTTCTGAAAACTGTATTTCACCCACAGTGATTTGCAACAATTTGTTACTTTGGGAGAGGGATTCAGGAGTTCTTTAGATTCACAAACAATGGTATTAATTTTTTTCTTCTTCATGTTTTTTCCCTGTTGAAAAACATATTTTCAGAGGATTCCCCCCATTTCTCAGTATATATTGGATGTGTTAGATGAGTATTGATGTTCTAACAATACAAGCAGCCATTATTCCATATGTAAAAGGGCTATGGATTTGGGTGGAAGATGGAACAGGGTGATCTCTGAGTTCTTTTTCAGCTTAGATAAACATCTCTCTGTGTTACTTGGTCTTTAGATCTGCTACACCACCCCACCCCACATTCTCATCTCCTGGCAGTTTTTCTTCATCTTTTCAATAGCCACATGCCCTTAGCAGAACCGTTTAAATGAATAAACACAGAAAAAGAGAACCCAAAATCTTAGTGTATCCCGACGATGCTCGTTCTAACTGAGCTACCTGGCCAGGGCCCTTAATTCTCTTGACTTAAAGGTTCCCCACAGAGTTTGACTTTCTATTTTACCTTCTAAATCTAAGCAGTTACTGGAAAGAAAACGAATGGATAAGAGAGGTCAGACCATAAAGAACTAAAGAAGGTAACGGGAGGCCTTCTGGAGCCTTAGATCAGTGCTATCCAATAAAAATATGTGAATCACGTGTAATTTTAAGTTTTCTAGTAGCTACATTAAAAAAGTAAAAGAAAGGTAAAGTTCACTTTACTAATATAGTTTTTTTTACCCAAAATAAATCCAAAAATTATCATTTCAACAGGTAATCAATATAAATATTAATGAATTATCTTGTATTCTCATTAAAGTAAGTCTTCAAAATCTGGAACATATTTTACACTTACACTGCATCTCAATTTGGACTAGCCACATTTGGGATGCTCAGTAGCTACATGTGGCTACTTACTACTGTATTAGACAGTATATACAGTAAAGCTGTCATTCACCTTTGGAGGAAGGAGCAAGAATTGAAAAGAAATTTGAGAGAAAGGCATTAAGCAGCTGTCAGCTATACGAACCAAGGCAAGGAAAGTCATCAGATAGAATTCTGACCCATCATTTTTCAAATGCACCACATTTTTCAGTGTAGTAATCAATATTTCGAGTATTGCAATTTGGGCCAGGTTAGGGGAGAGTGAGCTGTGGGCTGAAGGGTTGTGAGTTCCTCGGCATTTTTGGTGCCTTGGACAGCCTGACGTTTTAACTATACTCATCAGGCAACTTTCTGACCTTAATTTGATTTCTCAAGTCAGCTTTCCATTGGGAAAAGGGGACGCGCTCCAGCTAATGCATCAGAGCCAGGTCAGCCGAATAAAGGTATTAAATTACTAAATGGGCAAAGTTGATAGTCAAGGTGCAGTTACTGGGTGAGGTTCTTATCTGAAAGAGCCAGCTGACAGCTTTCCCATCAGCCCATTGTGAAACTGTCATTTTGTACTATTGACATGGCATTGCTAGGCAACTGAGAATAACAAATATCTAATCATAGTCTTTTGAAATAAATGATCAAGAATGTCAGACTTGATTTTCCCCAAATAGGTTTTTATAATAATTTTCCCTAACTATTCTGTAGGATATTAAGAGGTATTTATTGAAAAAGTTAATCAATGCTAATTATAGTTTTCACCTAAAATTTATTTTTAAATATTTGTAGTAAAAATACTTCTGTATGTGGTTGTTAGTATTATTGGATAATTGCCTTTAGGAAATGGTGTGTCTACTTGAAAACACCAGGAAATCACAGGGTTCATGAAAGCCTGATAATGGATTTGCCCATGGAAGCCTAGGCAACCACTGAGCTGATATATGTGGTCTATTTAACAATCATTGGTTTATGTTAGTTATCTTGTCTTATTATTCCAACATATAGATGACATTTTTCACTTAATAAGGTTACTTTTATCTATTTGTTTGCAAGTTGTTCTGATATAAGGTTTAAAATATTTGAAGTTTTTATCATTTCTTTCAGCAATTAATTCATCAACAGGTCCACATGTCACTGCCTATGTGTGGTAGGCTGAATAATGGCCCTCCAAAGATGTTCACATCCTAATCCCCAGGACCTGTGATTATCCACCTGATGTGGCAAAATGGACTTTGCAGATGTGATTAAATTAAGGCTGTAGAAGCAGAAGTTATCCTGGATTATCTGGGCACAGCCTAATCATATGGGTCCTTAAAAGAGGGACAGGCAAGAGGGTCAGACTCAGAGAGGGATATGTCACAATGGAAGTAAAGGACAAGAGTGATGTGAGAAAGGCTCTATGAGCCAAGGAATGCAGGCAACCTCTAGAAGCTAGAAAAGGCAAGGAAACAGGAATGCAACCCTGCCAACCCATTTTAGATTTCTGACCTCCAGAACTGTAAGATAATAAATGTGTGTTGTTTTAGGCCCCTGTTTGTTGTAATTTGTTACAGCAGCAATAGAAAATGTATACACTACATTAATAAGAGCACATATTAAATTATATTTGGCATATTACAATCTTAAATGTATTTGTTGTAAAATAAATTTGGAGGCAGACAAGAATCCATATTATAGTAATGTTTTCATAATAATGTCTAGACAATAATAATTATAATTGTTGAATTCTAAATAACTATTTGGTGGTGGCAACTATATATTAAGCTACAGATCTTCATAGTGAGCAATATATATTGATCAACAATGAAAAATATATATTAATCCCTTGCTGAATGCCAGGCATTGCACTAGACACTGGGGATATAGCAGTCAACAAGAGAGAAATGGTCCCTTCCCTCGTGGAGGTGACAGTCTAGCGGGGGAAATGGTCATATAGACTTGATTAGAGTGTGGTGGCAGATATTATGAGAATATATCACGGGGAGTGGACCTAACCTAGTCTAGGTGGTCAGGAAGGACTCATGTAGGAATGATGTTAAGCTGAGACCTTAAGATGACTTGGAATTGGCCAGGAGGGAAGTTGAGGAAGTGAAAAAGTATCTTGGAGAGCTGAAACACTGAGTGCAAGAGCTCAAAGGCAGTATGGAATTCTAGGCATTTGAAGAACAAAAATAAAAACAATGAAGATCTTCTCATTCAAAATAGTTGAGATCTTCTCTCAAAAATAACAAGGAAGAAAAGAAAAACCAGAAACGCAAATTTCATCTTTATTGAACTAGGAGTCACTCCAAACCACAATGCATGAAAATAGAAAATGGATGGAGGATGGTAAAGTACTTAGCAGACCCAAGGAAGGTCAAGCCTAAGTGCTCGGAGGAGAAGCCAAGGAGAAGCGAGGCTGGTCCCGCTGAGGAACCTTGGAGAGACTCGGGAATCAGAAGCAGCTGCAGTGCAGAGGGAAGCTAGAGCGGTAGAGATGCAGGAGTGTAGTGTTGAGTAGGGAGATTTGTTTGAAAATCTGTTTATTAAGTGGCCAGATCTCCCCTCCCCACCCCCACCTGATATAATCAGGCTACTACTTCGACCTCCAGGTAGAAGAAAGAGGAAATGTCAGAGAAAGTAAACCAAAGTTCTAGATGTGGAAACACCAGGCATAGATCAGGGTGGGAGTGAGACATCTTACTGAAAAGAGAGAAATTAAATCTGAAATGGAAAACAAGACACCCAGGCCTCTTCTGCTGCTCAGATACAGAACTCCGCAGCCCAGTTCCCAGGGAAAAGCGAACCATGCCGGAAAAAAGAGCCACGGATACTGACATTTAGGGGTCCCCATAGGAAAGCCTACAGCGAACACCCTTCAACTGACAATATTCAAACACACACTCAGAGCTTCCTATCAGCTTTTAGGACATCACTCAAAATACGAATGAACAAAAATCACCAGACACCAACAGAAAACTTGCAACAGGAAAAAATTTTAGAAGTCCAACATGTAAGAATGGGCTGGAGGGGAGGAATCACGGGAAACAGAGACAATGCAGGGAGCATAAAAATACTTCAAAAAAACTAGAGTATCATCAGAGAAATACTGTATTCATGAAACAAGAACAGGATGCTAAAAGAAGGAACCGTCTAACAGCGAGAAAGAGCAGTTGGATATTACAAATAACTTTGATTCCCGGTCAGGGCACATACCTAGGCTCAATCTCCAGTCAGGAGGCAACTGGCCAATGTATCTCTTTAGCATCAGTGTTTCTCTCT